GGGAAGGTGTGATAGTATCCTAGGCTAACCTTCTGCTTAGCCCTCAACCACGCCCCCATCACCGTGCCTTCACCACTGCGCCCCCTGTATATTAGTATAAATACCTCTATCTCTCTGTATAATAAAGATCATCCGTTCTAGCCCTTGTCTCTTGTCCCCTGCCTCTCGTGTTCCTACCTCGTGTCCTCTTGTTCCTGCACTTGTTCCCTCCTTCGTTCTGTTGCTATTACAACATGGATTATTAAGCCTAATGGCGTTAGAGGAGACCGGGATGGCTAATAGAGATACAAGGTGATGCCGGGTGCGAGAGTATGGCGTCTTTATCAAACGCGAAGGCGATGTGGCTGCGAGCAAACCTTAATCTGCCCTGAGACGCGACAGAGCAAAAGATCAAACGTAAATAAGATCTCTTTTTTGCTCTCTCACTTGCACCTTGCCTACGAACTATGGCGCGGTTCGTGACAGTCTTGGCTACGGCTGCCAAATCTACGACGGCACCATGAAAAAGGAACATTACATTGGAATACTCGCCACATCATTGAAGGACACAGTCGAATATTACGGGCTTCAAGCGGGGGGTTTTATTTTCCAGCACGATAATGACTCTAAACACACTGCTCGTGCGACAAGACGCTGTTTGGATGAGCAAGGATACACGCTACTGCCATGGCCTGCACGATCTGCTGATTTAAACCCCATAGAGCATGTGTGGAGGTACATCAAAACTCACATAGGCCTGCGAGAAAGACGACCCACCAGTATCCACGATCTATGGCAAGCAGTTCTCGAGGAATGGGAAAAGGTTCCTGAAGACTTCGTCAGGAAGCTCTACGAGTCGATGCCGGACCGAGTTCAGGCTGTATTGAAGGCGAAAGGTGGCCACAGAAGGTATTAAGAGTGGCAGTGAAAAATGGTTACAATGACATAGCATTACGAAAGCATATATTTCTCCGCAAGGAATAAAGGCACTGCCATCATGTGTACTACATTCTTTAGCCTCGATAGTTGCCTTCGTATTTTATTAGAACGACTCTTCGAATGATATAGTATATCATGAAGTAAAAGCACGAAAACAAAAAAGTGCAATTTATTGTAACCTTTCCTCAAAGTACTGTATATGGTCCTGGCCCGAAGGATAATGAGGCTCGACTCATCGCAGCTCAGCTGGAAATCGAGGAGCTTCGCAGTGCCTTGAAGCGTGAGCGGGAGATAATTTACAAGGATGAAGGCACTCAAGTGGATCGAAAGACAGCAGAGCAGGGGGTTCAAGTTGAAGCGGAGGACGATAGCAGGAAGGAGCAACGTCCTCGCAAGCAGCGTAGAAAGGCCAGGACAGGACTAACATTATACAGTGCCGTTCAAAACTGAGCCAATATTTTGCAAATTTCTACTCTAAGAGCTGATACTCACAAACAAGCGATCGGATTACCTTGGAACTTTGTAGGAATGTTCTTTAGCCATTATCGAAGACGTTGGTAAAAGGTGAAGTCGGTACCATCAACCGTTGTAAAGTTATAGTCGTCGGTAGGGGCCACGTGATTAGCTTAGTTTTGAACCATACCCGTAAAAAAATACTAAACGTAGTGTTATAAATATTTTTACATACACAATGGATCGCTTTCTTTTGCAAATAGCTACACCTTACCACGGTACATCACTCTGCCAAAAATGAGGCCGATCCTTCCACTCAAGGTCAAGGAAGCCATAAGCCTGATGATGGATAATGTTTCAACTCGGGAAACCGCTCGTCGACTTGATATTTCGCAAAGAGCAGCCGCAAGGATCTATTCCGCCAATAAGGAAAAGATGCCGATCAACAAAGGAGGCCGTCCGAGGAAGATTGGCAAGGAAACTATCGAGTTTCTCAAGCTAAACCTGAAGAGAGGAATTTTCCGGAGCGCTGTCGACGCCAAGAATCGAGCAAATGCTATTCTTCCGGAGCCTGTTTCCGTTACGACAGTTCGACGACGTTTGAGGGAAGCTGGATTGGTTGCCAAAAAGAAGGTCAAGAAGTCAAAGCTCACCAGAAAGCACATAAGAGGGCGAATTACTTTCATGCACAAGTACAAGGAGTGGACCGTCGACGACTGGGCTGAAGTGGTGTTCTCCGATGAGTCCAAAATCAACCGGATTTGCTCGGACGGCATGCAATGGGTGTGGGATGATGCACCAGGGGCAGTAACGGGCCAAACTGTGGAAGGTACCGTCAAGTTTGGAGGAGGGAACGTCAAGGTGTGGTCCTGTTTCTCATGGCATGGGCCTGGATATATCGCGATGATTGATGACACTTTGGATTCCCAGCTATATATCCAGATTCTGCAGGAGGATTTGAAGATGTCTGTGGAGGAATGGGGCATGGCACAGGACGAGTTTATCTTCCAGCACGACAACGATCCCAAGCATACCGCCAAGGTCACCAAGCAATACCTTCAGTCCGCCAATCTGACTGAGGAGGACCGACGCTTGCTGTTCTGGCCGGCACAGTCGTCCGACCTCAATCCGATCGAGAATATGTGGGCGTACCTCAAGAAACAGCTGACAAAGTACCGGGAACCACCGAAAAGTTGCAAAGAGCTATGGGAGCATATTTCGAAGGAATGGCACAATATTCCTAAGGAGTACTGCCAAAACCTTATCAGCAGCATGCCCAGACGGCTTCGTGCCCTTCATAAGGCTAAGGGAAAGCACACTAAGTACTGAAAAAGATGAGTTTTTTAATAAAAATGGAAATTTTGTGGGTATGGTTCCAAACTGAGCCAATCACGTGGCCCCTACCGACGACTATAACTTTACAACGGTTGATGGTACCGACTTCACCTTTTACCAACGTCTTCGATAATGGCTAAAGAACATTCCTACAAAGTTCCAAGGTAATCCGATCGCTTGTTTGTGAGTATCAGCTCTTAGAGTAAAAATTTGCAAAACATTGGCTCAGTTTTGAACGGCACTGTAGTCCTCAATTTTGATACAGTAGCCGCCAAAATCCTTCAAATGTTTTTTAATTTTTGTATTTTTTTTCTTTTGCAACAAAAGTGTCTTTAAAAGATTGCTCCATGCTTTATTATGTTTTTTGATGTGGATTATAGCAAACATGACAAAAAAGTCCTGACGTGTCCAGCGCTCTTCGTTGCAGAGAAAACGTGGGTCGAATCACGGTACCTCATTTGAAGGATTTCGCCGCCTTCAGGTCTTCCAACTTTAGTACTTTGTATGTCCACCTCTGGCCTTCAGAACCGCTTCAACTCTTCTTGGCATGGACTTGTAGAGGTTCTGAATTATCTCCAGTGGTATCAGCTCCCACTCCTCCAGCACAACTCCCCATACTTCATGGATGCTGGTTGGTCTCTTCTCTCTGCGGCCGATTTGGACTTTAAGGATGTCCCAGATGTGTTCATTGGGATTCAAGTCTGCAGATTGAGCTGGCCAGGGTAAGACTTCAATATTCTGATCCTCAAGGTAGCGTGTAGTGGCCTCGGCGGTGTGCTTGGGGTCGTTATCATGTTGGAAAATATAGTTGCCTGGTTGGTACTGATAGAACTCAAGGGTATCCTTGAATGTACCATCAAGAATCTGGATGTAGTCCTCCTTTTTCATGGTTCCTTCGTATATCTAGCATCCGTATCCAAGTCCCTGCCATGTTATACAGCCACAAAACATAAGTGATCCGCCTCCATGCTTGACCGTTTGCTGAAGGTGAAATGGCTGCACAGGATCCCCTGGCCGAATCCAGCAGTAGACGATGCCATCCGAGCTCCAAAGGTTGATCTTCGTTTCATCGGAGAAGACAACGCATTTCCAGTCGTCAATAGTCCAGTGTCTGTGTTGCCTTGCCCAGTTCAATCGTGCCTTCCTGTGTTTTGCGCTGAGGAACGGTTTTTTGGTATTTTTTTTGGATTGAAATCCGATCTCTCGAAGGTTGCAAAGGATCGTACGATACGAGATATTGACACCACCATCTCGAACATGCTTATACACCCCTACTCCTGTCTGCAGGAGGCCGAAAGGAGGTTTCTCTTGATCTCATTCTTGTCACGGGTCGAAAGAATCCTAGGCCTTCCTGCCGGCTGCCTTTGTAGTGTGGGTAGACATTTTGTACGGATGTTGGAAACTGTTCCTAGACTGACAGACAGCCTCTTGGAGACATTAGTGACAGAATAGCCTGCTTGAAGAAGGTTGACGACCGAGTTTTCCTTGTCTTGACTGATTTTTTCATTGTTGCGAGAATGGACATACTGTATAACACAAACACATGCCTCGAGTACTTGCAGGTGAGTTCCTTTCACAACATGTTAGAGGTGGATATCTGTGCTTGATGCTAACGTCTGCTCACATACACGATACGCTCTTTGTAATTTATGATTGTGTTTATAGCGTCTCGCAATGGGAAAACCGATGGAGGATCCTCTCTCAGTCACCAACTCTGAGGCCTCGGAAGTATCACTGCGGCTACTTGCGGCATCGCCAGTGGCGACGCGATTGTTAGAAGACGGACTCTTCAGCGGAAGTGAGCAAGGCAAGAATGTGGAAGAAAGAACGATCCCCTTTGGCGACATTGGGCAAACATTTACTCTCGCAAGCCTGGTAATGTTCGAGATAACACATGAATTGTTGTTGCTGCTGCTGCTGTTTTTGTGCTTCTATTCATTCAGTAAATAATACAGCCTTTTATCTTCGCCCTTGTTTATTTCAGGCTGGCGAGCTTGCCAAAAGCAAGGCGGCGTGGTTGTCATACATGGTGCACCTTGGTGGACTGACATTTCGTGTCGGTAAGAAAGCACTACGAATTCTAAACTAGGTGGCTGCAGAGCGATTTGGGAGCGCTATTCTGCACAGGCATCATGCAAGCCTGGAGGATGTGAAGGGCGCGTTTAGGTCACTTACCGAAGACGGAAACATCGACAGAATCATTGGTTTATACGCCCGCGGTATGCAGCAACACGATGTTGGAGCTCATGATTCCAAAAGAAGGAGGAGGACCACTGTAACTCGATGCGTTTCACCCTACTGACTAATACACTGACTCCGGGAATTGAGTAAATGTTTTCTCGGTTTATCATTGGCGCTCCATAATTTTATAACGGAAGGTAGAATGAACTTACGTTTCATTACCAAATTAGCATTACTACGTCTAAGCAGTATAGTGAAGTTTGAAATCATTCTGACATCATTCCAAGGAGAACGCAAGGTATTTGTCTATCTGCTGCATTTACTCAATTTCCGGCCTCTCATTCCAAAATATTTAAATCGTTTACACTTCCCTCGCCTTACCATCTGCATTCTCGCCGTTTCTCACAACCTGTAGCTCCTTCTACCATTTTCTCTCCTACGCAATGAAGAAGCTCAGTTCCATCGTTGAGGGTCTCATCATCGAGAACCTAAAGTCCGGTATGACCACAAGACAGATTGCTCGGAAGCACTCTGTTTCTCAGTCCAAAGTGTCCCAAATTGCGCAAACAGTCAAACAGAGCATTCCTCCAGCCAAAGCCGGCCGTCGAAGCCAGGTATCCCCAACCACTCGACGCGCAATCGTACGACGTATCACAAACGGCGATCTTAAAACGGCCGTTGATGCGCAGAAGCATCTCTCTGAGCAACTGGGCATCAACATCTCTACCAACAGGGTCAGAGAGATCTTCAGGGAGGAGGGACTGACGGCAATGCGAAAGGTCAAGCGCCCCAAACTGACCGCCAATCATCGCAGGGAACGTATGGATTTTGTCCGCATGTATGAGCATTGGACTATCGATGACTGGAAACGGGTTCTATGGACAGATGAAACCAGGATCAACCGATACGGGTCCGATGGGAAGGTCTGGGTTTGGAAGAACACAAAAATCGGCGACCAGGACCGGCTCGTTGACGAGACGCTCAAGTACGGAGGAGGTCATCTTTTTATGTGGGGTTATGCAAACGGTCAAATCAGGTGGAAGTGGATCTAGGGTGGAAAGGAGGCTTTATTCGTATCAATGCTGCTGTCTAGTTCTACGTGTGGATGGGGTTTATATAAACTGGCTGGATAGATAGCAACAGTGTTCTAGAAAGTCGTAGAAAGATGGGCGAAGCGCTGATGACATCATAATGCACTTAACCGAGCATAAACCTGTTGCATCCTTCCCGTTTTGAAAAAAAAGTCTACTTTTTGTTATTGATTTTGAACTCTGCCAAGGCCTCCTTGGCATTGGTGAGTGCTGATCTTGGTTCCCATGTAGCGTCCTCCAGGGGGTATCCCTTCCATTGTACGAGCCACTTTGGTGTCTTACCGAACACCTTATAATCGAGAATGCGTTCCACTTCGTACTCTTCCATGCCATCAATGAGCTCCGGTGGCGGTCGAGGCGGAGTGCGGTCTCCATATTCCGGCGGTGATTCAACATGTAATCGCAATAGATCAGCATTGAAGACGGGGTGCTGACGCATGGAAGGCGGTAGGTCGAGCTTAAATGCGTTATCGTTCACCTGTTCGACGATCTTGTACGGGCCAATGAATTTGGGTTCCAGCTTCTTGGAGGGCCGGTTGGAGTGCGCTGCGACAGAAAGGTGCTCAGTGCTCAGGAGGACCATGTCGCCGACAGCAAATGGTACTTGTCTGCGTGATTTATCCGCTTGCTGCTTTTGCCGATTCTGTGCTTCAATGATTGCATCCCGGGCCTGAGCAAGTGCTGTTGCTTGGGACGCGACGAAGTCCGAGACTGATGGCGCGTTGGTGGCGGTGGGTTTCATTAGTGATGCCGGAACGAGAGGATGGTGTCCGTAGTTAAGGAAAAAGGGCGAAAATCCAGTTGTCGGGTTCATCGAATTATTATAAGCGAATTCCATCATCGGTAGAAAGAGGTCCCAGTCCTTCTGGTGGTAAGAGATATACGACCGCAGCATCTCCTCTAGAGTCCTGTTGGCTCGCTCGGTTTGGCCATCCGATTGAGGGTGGTATGCAGTCGACATGTTCAGCTTGGTTCCCATCAGCTTCATTAGCGCTGTCCAAAATTTTCCTGTGAAACGGGAGTCGCGGTCGGAGATGATTGTACGTGGCATGCCATGCAGTCTGAATACTTGGTCGAAGAAGAGGCGAGCTACGTCTGAGGCGGAATCCGTGGTACGACTGGCGCAGAAGTGAACCTGCTTTGATAATTTGTCCACAAATACGGTGACTGCATCGAAAGAGCGGGCTGTCCTGGGTAGAGATACGATAAAGTCCATTGACACGGTGTCCCATCGCTGGCTAGGAATATCGAGAGACTTGAATAGCCCTGCTGGGTGCTGTAGTAGGGGTTTGTTGCGTTGGCACTGCTCGCATGATTTGATGTAAGCCTTAATGTCCCGCGCCATCCGTGGCCAGAAGAATGTCCGTCGCATATGCTCGTATGTTTTGTCGAATCCAAGGTGACCGGCCATTGGAGAGTCATGGGAGTCGTGAAAAAGTTGCGAGCGGAGATCAGCATCTTTAGGGATACAAAGTCGTTGTGTGCCATTGTCATTGATCCAAAGTAGGTCGTCCGCAATAAAGTAGCGGTCAGATGGACTTGCCTTGCGGCAGCGTTCATAAATTGGTCCCAGAGCGGAGTCTGTAGTATAACAATCCATCAGGCGCTGCCGTAATCCTGTGTCCATGCTTATATTCAGAGAGTTGAGCTGGCCGCTGCTAGGATCCCCAGCCTTGTGATCGGGTCTTCTGGAAAGCGCATCAGGAACAATATTGTCCTTGCCTCGTTTGAACTTGAAAACAAAGTCATATTCTTGGAGTAGCTCCATCCATCTCGCCTGTCGGCGAGTTAGATTCGGTGAG